AGAAAAGACAATATCAGCGGTAGTGATGCTGTCAAAAATCTTGTGAATCAATTCGACAGGCAAAGCACTAAGATAATCGGACATATTTTTTTTTGTATTTATTCGACGAACATCTGTATTTATAATTGAAGCAAACAATAGCCGGCAGACTCGCTCCTATTATTACCTCAGCTGATTTGTGTGTCATAACATACGGCGACGACGAAGCGGAATACAGTTCAGGTGTCTTCTCTTTTCTTTTCCTCTATCCATTAAATCCATTGGTTAGAATGCTATTCAATATGCAATACATTCATTCCCACACGGCCTCATATTGAGCAATTACAAGAGAAGGAAGGAAATTCACATTTCTCCTCATATACTTCAACACTCATGAAATTATGTTTTACAGAAAGAGAACAATGAGAAGTGCATATATCACTGATTCGGCGAAGGAAACGACTTTTTTTTGTCAGTCTTCATACAAAGTCGCCAATTGTTTTGGTTCCTCACCCATCATGTAACTCAATAATAGCTTGTTGTATATTTCTTCAATAATCAATCTGTTTTCGTGTGGCTTTATATTATTGCTTGTATTACACCGTAACATATTTGCTCTAGCATTGGATGCACATTGATGTAGTTTGCCCTGTGTGAATTCATATACTAATGATGCGTTTTTCTAATGATCAAATCTTGAAATGTCAATTACATACATGGCAAAAGGATACAGAAAATATCTTCTATTCTGTCTACTGTCTTCATCGAATGTGAATAATATTATTAGAGTCACGTTCTTCAAACATAACAAAATGTCAGTCATCGAAAAGTACTTTTACTAAGTACACAAACTCCGTACCGACAGGCAATATTATGGTATTAAGGAAACCTTGCATCGCCACTTTTATAAGATTTGGACAAAAAGATCTTCGGTGTGATTGCTGAACGAATTGATATTGCAGTGCATTATTAGTATTATGCATCACGATTTTATTCTTTCGCTTTGTTGAATTTTTCTTTTCATTTCTTTTACAAAAGCGATATATAAATTTATCATGCAACAAAAGATACAATTAGACATAATTTTCCATCGTCTAAAAAAACCAGTATAGAATAATAAATTCTCAAAAATGGTTGATTAACCTCATAATGTTAAAGATTCATTAAGTCTTGTTTACCTGTAAAAATAATAAACCCTTCGAGTACACTCTAGAGCATACGTCAAAGATGAATTGAAAACATTAACTTTTAATAACGATCTAATATGTTTCAGTCTATTAAAACAGAAGCTAAGAATTTTCAATTGAGATTATAAAGTAGTATTATATATAAAGTTCTGAGCAAAAGTAACCGTCATTTATGAAGGGCTACTCTGCATGTGTGTGACAATAGACCCTGGTCTCAAACGTCGAGCCGCCCTCCATTGGTTCACATGTCCCATCTCTCATTCGAAAGACAACTGGGGTGTGGGTGTGGGTGTGGTGGTGTGAGTGTGGGTGTGTGGGTGACTGGGTATCATTCTTCTCTAACAGAAGGCTACATCCTCACCCACATCCACGCCCACACCCACACCCACACCCTCTTGTTCAAATCTCATAAAGATTTCTCTTAAGTCCATTCTCTTTGGACAGATTTATTGGACATGATTTTCTTCGAAATCTGAGCTCTAATAGCCGATAGCGGAAAGTAGTGATTACTATAAAAAGTCTTATCTATTATTTGAATATTATGTATTTATTTTCTTGCAACCAGAATGCTTCGGCAGTTATCTTCATCATTCAATCGATTACCTGGTTATTTATTAATCTTATCGTGTTCTAGCTGTACATGATTGTACTTTGAAAAGAAAAAAGAACTACGTAGTTTGCTAGAATCTATCAATGAAACGAAAATTTATGGATTGATGATGTTTGTTTATTAATTCTCATAAGCACAGATAGAACTCGTCGCCGTCCAACATTCAATCTTTGTGACAATCGATCCAATCAGCATTTTCAAATAAAGCACAACGTTGCGTCGGGCCAATCCTTTTTCTAAAAGAGAACTCTCATTCAGTTACAACAAAAAAAAAGAGGAGACAAGCTATTTTTTTTACCGTTTCAATGATGATGAATCTCGTTCAGTAAGGAATAACAAGATTAGTTCATTGTTTGAATTGAGAACTAGATGATCTTTTGAAATTTAAATATTTGACGAAAGATTTTCGATGAAGAGTTTCTCCAAAACTTGACCATCATCGACTCGATACATCAATAGTAATGATTCTTTTTGAGATATTCCAAATATATATTTGCCATCTTCTGTAAAACAGAAGACATCACAGAATATTTCCCGTCGAATTGTCCTAACTAATCTGTCATTTTTAGACGAATAGAAGAACCATTTGTTACTCGTGTGCTCGATAAGAGTTAAACAGTTGATGTTTGTCTCGTCAAGATGATGATTAAGAGTCAGGATGATGCATTCATTTTCAATATCCCATATATGAGCTCGCTGATTATGATCGTAGAAGACCAAAGCAGTTTGTAGAGCACAAATTTCTCTTATCTTAATGTTATCATCAAGCAATATGGGAATAAATTTGATCCTCTTCTCCTGTATATTCCAAATGGTTGATATTGAGTGATCATCGACTAAAATAAATAATTTCATTCGGTCAGTCATGATAGTACTTAATAAAGAATGACAGGCGAAGTTAAGATGTGCAACAGATCGTAGCTCAAGTGAATGGTTTGTATCAATGAAAAAGTTGACTAATCTGCGCATCAATGATCAAAAAAGACAAGCCAAGTGAATATACTTTGACGGAATGATGTCGAAGTTCGTTTTTTGATACAGAAGTTCTGGAGTTGAACTAATTGAATAGATGAAGAGAATATTGTCGGAATTTAGTAGAAGTAAATAGGATGTGATAGTAGCTGATTGCGTAATAGTAAAAGACATCCGTAGTTGCATGACAAGAGATACTCGATTAGTAAAGGTGAAAAATTCAAAATGCTGTAAAATATTGGTTTCTTTGACAATTACATTTCTTAAGAATACTCACCATTTTGTTTGGTCTAATGCAACAACAAAATTTCCTTGAAATTCGAAATAATTAATCGAAATTTTGAATATTAAGCTTTTTCGATCTATGATTATTTTACAAGGCAAATAAGTCATCATTGTTGTTTTGTATCTACGTAATTCTCCGTTCTCTAATATGCAACAGACAATGAAACCCCATTCTGAGTCTTTAACAAGGAATATATCTAGAAAGAAAAACTCTGTAAACATGATGAAAACTCACCTATCTGACATATCCAATGAAAAACTTTTTCATCGAATTGCAGACGAACGAGTAGACGAGGGTGTGGGTGTGGGGTGTGAAGTGTGAAGTGTGAAGTGTGGGTGCGGGTGTGGGTGAGGGCGTGGGTGTCGGTGTCAATAGGTGTGGCTGAGGAAGCATCATACATTCACACCCACACCCACACCCACACCCACACCCTTTTTATTATCTGATATGCTTTATTTTAAAAAACAAAATACACTAAAAGATTCACCGTGAAGAGCTCTACAGTTTAGAAACAACAATTGTAAAAAGATAAGATAGAAAAAACTGAATTCGTCTTTTACCAAGAAAACAATCTCGATTTTGCAACGTCGAAATCTGGTACCTCAAAGTTTTGTTGATTTTGAAAACAAAAAGTGTAACTATAACATAAGTGATCCTTTATAAATTGTAGAGCTTTTCACGCTGCATCTTATGGTATATCTTGTCTTTTATCGCAACGTATTAAATGATGATAAAATGAAATGCAAAAGTGCCCCACTTTTTATGCCACACTCATTACGACCTAATTGGTACCAGCTGGTCTTCAACAAAAACAGTTCTTTTCGAAATTTTATTATTATAATATTAGTTGAAGTATGATCAAATAGTGTAGAAAAATAGAGCATTGTTTTCTCCACCAGACTACATATAAAGAAAATTTCCTCAAGCCTTCTATACGAAATTAAGATGTGGGGCTCACTACTTTTGGTGTGCCCTAAGTAGTTTGTTTCCTAATACCCATTTCCCACCCTTGCTTCTTTCAATATATCTTCGATATATTTATCACTATACGTTGGATATGAATGTGGGTGTGAGTGTGAGAATGTGAATTTGTATTTCGATTCTATACATTCATGACTATACCCTACATTTACCCTCAGACTTAAAAAATTTCCAATTTGACTCGATAATGCGGAAATCGATACTTCAGAATATTTAAAAGAGCTGTCTTCGTCGCAAAAAATCAAACATAAATTCATTATTTTATGTCTGCTTTAAAATTCTGTCAGCATGTATTTGAATTGAAAAAATAATAAATTTTTTATCTATTCTTTTTATTTTTTTTCCATTCAAGATGAATAAAAAGATTCAAATATATGTTCATTTAACAAAAAAAATTGATAGAAAATGCAATATTGAATACTTCCCAACAACAGTCTCATTCCTTATTCAACATTTTTCTATATTTTGAATTTTATCATTCGCTTACACTTTGAGATGAATTCAAAACATAACATGATATTTATATTAGAATTCTCTGAGTGTACTTTCGTATCTATTATTTAGGTTAACACATTTTAGATGACATGATTTCTCGACTAAACCATATGAAGCATCTCTTGAATACATTGAAATCTTCATTTGTTTAACTGTTGATAACAAAACTTCTGACATGTGAAAATCCATTTTAAAAGATTGTGGTTATAACAAAATTTTCACAGTCATTTCTTTTAGTGTTTACTTCTACCAGTGAATATTGTTATGAAAGTTATACGATGAACCATTGATTGGTAGGCAAACTATTTTATTCGATAAAGCGAAGAATGATAGTATTATGTCCTGGATTCTTTTTCTCTCCTATTTATGTGTTTGTTAGTCAGTTAATGATTTCAAATATTTCGTTGATCATGATAAGCACTATATACTATCAAAGAATACTGCAGATATAAATATTTATATTTTTTTTTGTTTATTTTGTTTTTTAGAAATGCCCGAAAAAGGTTCATGTACCGATATAACATGTGATAATGAAATCAAAGAATTATATGAATGTCATTGTTGTTTACGTCTTGTTTGTTTTTATCATTTGAGTGAACATATTGAAATAGTAAAAGAAAATAAACAACAACTAGATAGTCTTCGTAATGAATTAAATACAGTTGTATATACACTTAAACTAATTATTGAAGAAAAACTATCAATCATTGAACGTGAACAAAACTTGACTGAACAAGTAAAAAAAATTCTTGACGAATCCAGCAGTTCAATTGATGAACTAAAAAATATGTTCGAAAAAATTAATCAAACAATAGCATCAAATCGTTCAGGTAAAAACTAAATTAGATAATCAGGTTTTCTTTTTGTATATTTTTCTTTTTCTTTTTTACAGAAGAAATCACAATGAAAGTCGAACCGTGGTTATCAGAAACTAAATATTGTTCTTGTGTTTGTAAATGTAATAAGAAAAACGTGAATTCAAATGGTAAAATGAAATTTCTCTCTAAAATATATGTTTTTTGTTTATTTCGATCGAACTATAGATACTGGTATCTGATGAGAAAGCTAACCGAATTTATTAATTATCATTTGAACTTATATTGACATCAGAAAAATTTCTTAGTAAAAGTAGTTGTAGTTAATGAACCAAGTCATGACTTTTCTACTGAATTTTCGATCTGCAAGTATCCATAGACATAAGTTTGATGACTCTCAGAATATTCGGAAAGTTTCAGCCGAAAAAGAAAACGTCCATTTATCGAGATATTGTATTTTCAAGTAAATTTGATTTTAGCCAGTGCCTATTTATTACAAATTTAATATTTTAATAAATGAGCATCTTTTTTTTTTTCGCTCCAAATGTCAAATCCATTGTTAAATAGATCGATAGGCAAAATTTGGTTAATTTATTTTTGAATGAATATTGAAAGATGAGTTGAATATTCACTAAATCGGCTTATGAGCACGACATCTTTCACGTTTCTTTTTTTATTCTTAGAAAGTCATATAGTTCACTCGTAGGATAATAAAAGCCTCCAAAATATAAGTTTTTTGTATGTTTAGATGTCACAGAAGAATTGGGAATCTCAAAAAGTAAGTTACATTTTCTTTAACTTTACAAAGAAAAATAAACATGATTGATTTAAGATGATGAATATTTAACAGATATCAATCACGATTTTATTGATATTGTTTCAATTGAGTAAGTTTCTTTTTTATTAGAAGAAATTCAAAATCGATTGCATATTTTTCCTTCTTTTAGTGAAACAACGAATTCAATTGAGGTAAAAATAATTATATAGATGAAGTTAGTTTTTGAATTGAAATATATTAAATCTTGTTAAAAAAGAAACAATGATAAACTAGTTCGAAATAACGTCTTTATATAAATACGACATCATAAGTTATTTAGAACAGCATATTTCTGAATGGATGAAGTTCTAAGAGAACAATTTGTTGCTTTTCGAATATGTGAAGTATTCGTATCTCACAGATTTACTTTTCAAGGTATTTAACAAGAATATGAATTAACTATTGAAATTAGTTTTGTACATAAAAATTAGAAAATTTTAGAATTCAAATATTTTCCTAAATAAATTTCGTCTCATAGCAAAGTCCTATTTTCAATATACAACACTTCATTTTCAGTTAAATTCTATATAAAATCAGAAAGAATGAATATCATTCCTCATCATTCTCAATATTGTTATGTTTTTCTATATTAAAATCGACATTATAAATATATCTATTATGAGCTTGGTTCATTGTCCTTTGTATATGTTTAAATTAGTTTCACTTTCTATGAAATGAATTCTGCATAATATTTAAACATTCGTTATACATTTTGTTTTTCAGGACGAACATGTAAATGAAGAAAAGAAACCTAAACAAAAACCATACAGAAGAATTTTCCGTAAATGTCCATTAACATTCAATGGAGCATATGGTCTTACTGAAGCAAATCATTCAATTGAATTTTGTGAGCATGGGAAAACTCGTCGAATTGAATTATATTCCCATTTCATTCACAAGCATCAATTAAAAAAGATTTATGTTCGACGTTTGGTACGAGCTGTTGTTGATGATCAAGATCCTAGGATAACAAAATTATTCGATGGAAGTGAAAATGTAATTAATCATTTTTATAAAATCCCATGTCCAATTTGTTGTGGACAAATTAATTCATCAGAATATACTCGACAAAATATAGTAACTGTACCATGTCAACCTCGATTAGTTCCACTTCATAATTTCAAACAACATTTACAACATAGTCACAAGATTTCTAATTCGTTGGCACAAAAATTAGTTGATAGTTTCAAACAAAATTCAACAAAAAATGATATTGATTTGACTCAACTAATTCCCTCAACATCATCAAAATAACAGAAAATCTTAAAATTGTTTTTATTGATGCTTATCTAGTTTGTTTTTTTTTTGTTGATGAAAATAAAGAATTCAATCATTTGAAATAGTTATTTAAGTTATTCTTTGTTATTAGTGTTTGATTAAGTTTTCCCTGTTGAAGGTAATGAGTCGATAATAAAAAACTAACAAGAGGCTATGAGTGTTGGAGACAGAGATGAGCACAGGACAGAACGGTGCGGTGTGCGATCCTGTAGGATAGGAACGCCACTTCAATATTTGTCTTGTTCTGTCGGCGGTGTGGGTGTCAGTCTACAATTCATTTACATTCATACCCACACCACTAACCAGAGTTGTCGCGAGGTCAGAAATATTGGGAATGAGTCGATCACTTGGAAATTCGTTTGAAAATTTTTTGCAAAAAAGACCGATTATGGGGGAGGTAAAGGGCATGTTCTGATATATGTTAGCATTTTGTTGATCATTTACATGGCAAAAAAGTTAATTGAATCATAAAGCGTGTACCAAGTCTTGATTGAATACAAACTAAACAATAATCAAAAAAATTAAATATTATTTTTGCAAAAAAATACAAGTAATGAAAAACAAAAATATGACATTGAAGGAAGAGCTTTTTATCTTTATATGAATATATTAAATTAAATTCTTCATCATTAAACTATCAATGTTTAATGATAATTGGTTCGTTAAGTAATGTTAAAACCGACAATGATGAAGATTTCCAGGTATTAATTAAATGTCATGAAGCATTATGTGCATAATACTTCGGTTTGACTAAAAGTTCTAAGAACATCAAATAAAAATATAAAAATGCAGAAATTTCTAATTTTACTTTATCAAATGTTGAGAATAGTTGCCATGATTATTTATATGAAGTTCAATCGTTTCAAACAATTTATTAAAAGTTTTTTTTTGTTTTAAAAGCTTGGTGGAATTTTGTTTGATCATGTCAGTTGCATTCTAACATTACTAGTAATGTGATATAGATTTATTTTAGATAGATTAGTCATAAGTCATCTAATGCTAACTGGCTTATCGAAGGTGAATTGTCAGACACTATTGTTCATGGAGACAGATATGAAGTAAAACTTTGTTTAGTATATTCATTAAATCAGATAGTCTTGAGTGTAAATGAAAGCAAGAGTGTAGATCACAAGTATTATATTGAAAATTATCTGAACCTTTTTGTTAACAAAATATGGAAACAAACATGAACATTAGGTTCAAAATGTTCAAAATTGCTTGATGATCATCTCGGTGACTTCATACTTATCCAATGTTATTAATTAGTTGACAGAAAAAAGGCATTAATATAATGTCATATACGCCAGGCCTTATACTACATAATCTTTGGTTAAGTGATTCTATCGAAAGAAGTTTAACTAATTAAATAAATGAAATATAATTAGTTCATATGGTATCCAAGGTAACGAAAATTTTTTTTAGAAAAAGAGGTTAACAAAACTTTGAATCAATTATTAAAAAGGATTGAACTTGATATAAATAATCATGACAACCACCCTCAACATTTGATAAAATAAAATTAAAAATTTCTCTGCATCTTTATATTTTTATTTAATGCTCTCAGAACTTTTGGTCAGACCTAAGTATAATTATTCATTCAATGATATTCAACTTTCAATAAGTATGTTAAATGATTATAAACGTGCTATTCAAACTGGAAGTACGATTATTCGTTTGAACAATTCGGTACTTGGAGCTCGTCATTAATTCTTTGCTTGTTTTCTCATTCATTTCAAAAGATAAAATAGTAAAAAAAAATTTCTAGATATTTTTAGATTAATTTATGAAATAAAACAATGAATATTTATGATTTCCTTCTCATCTTATAGAGTCAAAAATCTAGTCAATTGTTAAATGAAACAGAAATATACTTATCGTTTGAGTTCCTCTCTTGAACATAACAAATAGATTCAAACGACTCAACGCATTTAATATTTAATTAAATTTCTAATCTTGCGAAGCACACATGAAATTGTTAGTTATGTTTTAGTTCTATTTATTTCATTTTGTTGTTCAACACATTTTTAAGTCTTTCTAAGAGGAAATCTTTCAATTGTTGGTTATTATTATTTTTTCAATTAATTCATTTTGTTTTCTAATGATTTCATCAAGTTTTTAAGAGATTGAATTCATTTACAAAATTCTTCTTCTTCTTTTTAAAACTCAAAAACTATCTTATAAATCGATGCTTTTTTTTTTATTCTATTGTTCATGTAGCCGCAAATAACCGTTATTTGAATCTCTTCAATATCGAATATGATTGTAATTTCATTTGATTATAATAATAACTTTGTGACAATTCCTGTAAATAGAATAAAAGATTGACTTGAACTTTTCTCCAATTAAAGCTGATATAGCTTCTCAAGATTTATATACCATTAGAAAGTATTGAAATCAACATATACTCAAAATATGAGAGAATTCCAAGTTTTTTCCTCATAATAGGTCATATAAGTGATTTAAAAAATCAAAAATACTTGCTCGATTTTATTTTTAAACATATATTTCAAATTACATACTTTACTGCATCTATCAGAGAAAACGTTAGACTTTTAGCATTTTTCCTTCAAAAACATCGAGTCCTGACCTTAATGTGAACCCATGTAAAAAAAAACCCGGGAAAAATCAGATTTTAATCGATTTTTTTTTCTGATTAAAAATCGATTTAAATGGCACGATTTTAATCAGATTTTTAATCAGAAAAATCGATTGTAATCGATTATTATTTAGAATTTAATCAAAAATTGGTACTTTAATCGATTTTTTATGATTTTTTTTGAAAAATCGATTTTAATCAGATTTTTCGCGTTCTTTTTTTACATGGGAATAGTTATGCATCGTAGATAATATTTTTTATTTGTATACAGGCAAATAGGGTGTAGGTGGGTGTGGGTGTGCATATTCTCTTGAGTTATATTGACGCCCACACCCACACCCACACCCACACCGCCACCCACACCCACCCACACCCCACACCCTCATGTCTCAAATGCAGTTTTCAAATCACCTATTGAAAAAATATATATTAAATTATCAAATAAACATATCATTCCTGTATTTATCTTAAAGTTAAATTATTTTATTGAGAGCCGTGTCCATTGGGTTATTTACTACTCATTTCGTTTGTTTAACATCTTCATATTCTAATGTTGTGCATCCCTTGCTGTGCAGATTTGGAGGATTCAGTAAGATTTCTGGATATAGCTCTCACAATCATAATTAAGCTCACATTCTTGGAAAACTGATGATCAATCGCTTTTTGAAATTTCCATTCTATCAAAGATTTTCAAGGAAAATATCAAACCAGGCAGTCGTTCTACAGAGAAATATTTATTTTTTGTTTTTCGGTGGATGATGTATGAAGTTTCAAACATGTACTATATAAAACATTATGAGTAAAGAAAAAAAAGAAAAATCTAAAGAAAAAAGGGAAATCATAAGTTTTTAACAATCCGCTTCTAAAGAGCTAAGTTTTCGTCTTTTTGTTTTGATCTGTTGATTCAGCATCTTCAGGTAGTCTCCTTCTTGTTCCTTGATTTGTTCCTGTTTGTTGAACAGGGTCGAATACGTTAGGATTGAGATTTAGAGCATAAGGCAATAAGCGTTTTGAAAATTCATCGAAAACAATGAAAATCTTAATCACCATAGTGTCATTTCGAAGATATGGATTGCCTTCATGTTGAATCAAAGACAATGGAACAAATTTCGGTAAACCACTAGCAATGTTCATATCAGACACAGGTCGTTGAAAACTACTGGATTTAGTATCTGGTCGAAATGAATCGATAATATGTCGTTGTTTCAGTATTTGATCGTACAACAAAAAGATGACTTTATAATCGAACGGAAACTTGAGAATTCTATCATGATCACCACGCATTAATTGTAAAAAGAGTGACATGTGAGTATGACGAGCATTGCCATCACCATTCAAAAAAAGACGAGCTCTCATTTTATAACCATTTTGAGGTAAATAAAAAGGCGGTGAACAAATTGATGTTTCTTTTCCAGACTGCGCTTCATCTAAATATTGAACATAAATACATGAACGATCATAAAAATGAGTACAAAGAAATTTTGCAAATATGTATCATTTATATAATCGTGACCTCATTACAATATAACCTGGAAAGTTTTCGCGTGTAATTACATATTATTTTAAGGGTAATGTCGAGTGATCGACGTTTTATCTGTTGAGTTTATGACAAACAGATAAGAACATATCTTTTAGTTTTGACTTCAAAATAGTAATCCGTTGTTTTTTCGTTGAGTAAAACAGTAATTGAAGAACTTACTCATTTTCTCTTTGACATTTGTAATTGTCCATGTATATGCATCATTTGATGAAAAATTTTGCAAATCACTGGTTTTTACTTGTAATGAATTTGCATCTTGATTAGCAATTTCTGGGTTATTATTTACTGCTTCAGAGAGACCATGACGTTGTTCTATGGGCGAATTAGTGCTTGATGTGGTGCCCGACAATCTAAGAAGTGGATATTGGTTTTCAGATGATCTAGTTGTTTCACAGTGTCGAACACCATTCGATGTTTCCGTAACTCCTATCAATATATGATATATATTAGAAAGCGTTTATATTTCAAATATGACAGGCTTATACGCACTTGAAATTGCATTTATTAGGGCATTTTGATGTTGTTCAGTTAGATAATGGGCCGGTAATTGATCGTGAGAAGCCTAGAATACACCAAATAGTTTTTTGTATCTCTGTTATTTAGAAAAATATTCATACTCGTCCATGACAACCAAAGTCTTTCAATACACATTCATTAGGTAGTTTTTGACATTCGAAGATTTTATGTTTATTGAATTTGTGAATAGAGTTGAACTGTTTGTTGCAATATTCACATTTGAAATTTTTGTGACATTTGTCAAGATGTTCCTTTAAAATAAATGAGAATGAATATTTAAATATAAATATAAGACTAATTACTTGATACTTGTCCAAAATATCAGTCCAATCACATAAACAACAAATGATCAATAATGATTTCATCTCGTTTTTGAAACCTCGATCAGGCAATATCTTTATCAAAGGAATGCAGTTTTTCTTTATTTTAAAAATATGTCTTACGTTTTCTCGTGATGTTTCTAATTGGCATTGGTCACATTTAGTTGTAGTGCTTGAAATAGAATAATTATGAATAGTTTAACATATCGAAACTAAAACTTACTCTTGTTCCGTGTTAGTGCACGTTCGGCAAAATCGATGACCACAATCAATTAATTGCAGTGGGTCACGCATTATTAATGAGCAGATAAGACAAATATATTTGTCTTCAAGACTACGTTTATTTTTTGCATCGAATCCGACCATTTTGTTTTTTAAATTTCACTTCGTTGTGAATAAATGAATAAATTTATCTAGAACCCCTTAAACTGCATAGTTTAAAATGATTAATATTACAATAGTTGAATAAATAATAATAAATTCTCTAAATAAAGGTTGTAATAAATAAAGTATCCAAAAATCAAAAATTGATATAAAGACAACTCAACACTGTTAAACTTTGATTCTAAAATCAAACGAAGTATTCAAAAAAATTTTTGTATAGTACCATTTAATAAAATTTTAACTGAATCATTATTGTATTGATTAAGATCAGTTTTAAGTTCTTAACAGATTTAATGGGATTGATCAATGGGTAATTTTCAAATACATAATCGATAGATTTTAAATATATTTGTATCAAAAAACGTAAAAGCAAGGTATCCATCCCCTTGTTAAAATCAAGGTAATTAATTTAGCCTATTATTCAGCATTGTAGACGGCATTTGATAAAATTGGCAACTACATAAATCGTTCTTAGTTATGTCGACATGTGCAAAGGATAATGTTTTTAAAACTTTGTATGAAAATCGTATAACTTGGAACAATTACCAAAATCTGTAGAATTAAATTTCTTAAATTAATTGATTGAAAACGATCGTAACTACCCCTGTCCCTCGCCCCACCTCAATACAATATATGATTATTCATCTTGTCTCTTCTGTCGTTTGTAAACGGATTCTAGACAAATATTTCCTATAAGAGTACTTGAGATGCTCGATCACAACTACAGTTTATTCAATATACTTTCAAAAAACAAACATTTGTCATCCTTGGATTGCATTCGTATCAGCCTGACTAAAATATTTTCCACCATTCCATCAATAGATAATATTTGAAATTGAAACAACGCGAATGCACATATAATATGCTCCGTTTTGTAGAGCTCCTATATATTTTTGAAAGAAGTAGTGAGGGTAAGTTTTGAAGTCAAGCTTTTCGACTACATTTCCTCTAGGTTCTAGCAATCTTGCTTGGATGGATGGGTGAGATAGTCGTAATTATTAATCAGGTTTCTTTAGCACTTTGTTAGTAAGTACTAAGCTAAACGTTATTGAGGTAGTTTTCATCACATTGGCTTACTAAAAGTTCACTATAATTAATTAACGATTAAAAGTGTGAAATAATCATTGATATTTAATGTTTAAATTTAAATTTTAAATATTTTAATACAGCGTGTGCCAAAAGTCCCTTTCTAAGGTTTTTTTGAGTACCTTTGCTGCCTTATTTAACTTAATTTGTTCTTTTTAATGATAAGTGGAGACACCGAGTATTTTTCGACCCTAATGAGTTTCAAAAATATTGCTCAAAGATAACACGTTTCATCGGAATACAAAAAATCAATCTTTTCTGAATTTGCAAAACAAACACTTTTAATGTTTCGTTTTTAATTGCTCCGATTTCTTCAGTTATTTTAATCTTTAAGCCATCCAGATATTTAATTTTTCTCTGACAAACATTCGTTTTGATGTTTTCCCATAGTACAAAATCTCATGATGTTAAGTAAGGAGATGGTAGCGCCCATAAGATGGGATCACCTCCCCCAATACGTCAATTATCGAATTTGTTGTTCAACCAAGAACGAACCGTTTTCAAGAAACAAAATTTGTATTCTATATGTTTAATAAATAACCTCCAACTAGTCAGTATGGAGAACAACTATCTGTTGCATCATAAAGGATTAATCTAGCACATGTGCATTTTATATAAAATCAAATGCCCGTTGATTTATATTTACGAATTGAAATTACCGTCACGATGATTAGATCACATTTTTTCATGGGAACACATGAAAACAGATGTTTATCAAATAAAAATAAAAGATTAAAATAATTGAAGAAATCGAAGCAATTAAAAACGAAACTTTAAAAGTGTTTGTTTTGAAAATTAAAAAAAAAAGATTACTTTTTTTGTATTTAGATGAAAAGTGGTACTCTTGAGAAATATTGTTGAAACTTATTCAAGTCGAAAAAAATCTCAGTGTTACTACCTACCATTAAAAAAAAGAAGTTGATAAAGTTAAATAAAACAACAAAGATACTCAAAAAAAAACTTAGGAAAGGACTTTTTGGATACACTTTATTTTATTTCGAAATATTAAATACCTAACATTACATACAAAAACTAAAAAAAATTAAATACTATACATAGTAATGATTAATATTAAAGAAAATTATTAATAAATATTAAATATCAAGTAAAAAATAATTCAATACTAAATACATTTTATAATAATTTTTAATCTTAAATTTAATATTTAAAACAATAGAATATTTAATAAATAAAGAAGAAAATTATATCTTCTTCTTAATGTGGCTTACATTGTATAAATTTAATGACTAAAACAGTAAACATTATAAAGTCAAATGCATGTAAAATTGATAATGACTGATTTTCAGCAGTGTCACATATCCAAGATTTTGGAGATGCCACCACATCTCCTGGGGGAGATGCCGGATCTCGCTCGAGAGATGCGAGTATGGGTGTGGGGGATGCGTCTCTCTAAAGGAGATCTTACATCTCCAGTGGTGAAGACCTCATCTCCCGAGTGTGGGTGCCACGTCTCCCGCTGGAGATGCGGTGGCATCTCCAAAATCTTGGATATGTGACACTACTCGATATTTTTGATCAGCAGATGACATTTTACAAGAATCAATTTAAATTTTTCTTAAGCTCATTTTTACATATTGATTAGATCATTTATTAGTTACAGATCAATAATCTATCTTTATTTAATATGATGCAATAATTAAAGGCAAAGTACACGAATATGAATGACTAATTTCTTATGCTTGAAAAATTCCAAGGATCAGGAAAAAAATATATGACTAGAATTCTCTCAAGCGGTATTTTCTTTAGATGATTTGTAAATGTTTGTCATTATTATTTCAAAAGTATCCCTTTAGTTGCATTCAAGTCAATGAAAAAGATAAATTCAAAGTCCTGTTGCCCACAAAGAACACAGATACAGATTGTTTTTTACTCGAAAGAAAGAAAATAAAAATATATTTCGTAATTGCATTTCATATTACTTGCACATTTATGGAGAGTTATTTTTTCTTTATCCTTTTCTTAACTTAAAATACTACATAAAATATCAAGTAATATTACACCGTCAATATTTGTTCTTCAAGAAAGCAACTTGGAAAAAACCCAGTTTGCATTTTATAGTGAATCACTGTTTGTTTTTTTTTCTCCCAGTAGATGAAAGAAAGGAAGTAGCAGAAAAAAAAACGCATAATAAATACGCCATCAGTAGTTGTATATAAAAAGCAGACCTGAAATCGTTTATGAAACATATCCATGAATCAAAGCAAATGAAAATAGATGTTTTCTAATACACTGTGAAGTAACTTTTTAAATACTGTTAAGATTAGTAAGTTTTATTAATCAATGGTATGTATAATAGTTATTCATTTAGCTTATTTAGGTTAACTCTAAGCCTCAGCAACTTACCAGAGTATGAGAGAGAACACGATTTACTTTACAGAGGACCACAGGTAATTGTTGAAATCAGTTGAATATTTTTTATATCAGTCAATAAATGAGACCAGAACAGTTTTTTGCCTGAGCAACCGTTTGTTTCTTTTTAAATCCAACCTAGAATTGCACGATGAATCTAAAAGGAAAACAAAACTACTTCATACATGTTTATTTTAAAATTCATTTGAAATCAACATATAATTGAATTCTTTTGCATATCGATATGAATTTTGTCTACTAATATATTTTTAAATAAAATAATGGCAGATAATGCAAGTTGATAAATCATTTTTTATTTTGTAAAAACACAATCAGAAAATTTCGAAGAATACGACAGACGGTAGCAAATAAACCGAATATTTACCATCTACCATAACAGATGACTCTCAACTTTATAAAAAAAAACCAAATAATAGCACTACTTGATTCGAAGACATGTAAAACAGTTTTCAGTTGAAAGTCTACCATGTAAAGTGAAGACTAATAAGAAACTAAAACAAATACAGAGAAAAAAAAATGACTTTCAACTTTTAACATAAAACAACACATTATGTTCTATATTTCAATCTCAAAAAGTTTGTACTAACGGCTGTTTTGGAAAAAAAGCTTGTGAATATTTTTTATCGTTCTTCGTGGCGTCGTCATCGTAAGTGCGATGCAGAAAGATTTCTTTTAGATATATAAAATAGTGTCGCATATGTATGCATTTACTTCCTTTTTTTCCTTTTTTCTTAACATCATAAATCTTAAGAAAAGAAAAAAGAAAGCAACAGTCTTACAGATACTACGTTTCATGTGTCATTTCTATTGAGAATAGACTGACGAACAGTCCAAAATGTTTATAAGTAAATTAAACAAAAAAAAAAAATTAATAAAATCGCATTATTCGTTATGAAGCCATTCAAATATCAATGTGTTTAGTAAATAGGTCGATATGAATTGACAATATTTGATAGAATTTGAAAAATTTTTAATTATATTTTTTTGTTGTTACGATCATATAGAACTCATATTTTCGATAATATACTTACGAATATAATTTTTAAGCAGATATGCCGTAGTTTTGTGTTTACAAAGAATTCTATATGACATCATAGTCAAATAAGAATCATGACGTCGTATTATTCATTAAAAAATAAATTCATGAATCATCCAGATTCATTATTCGGTGTTGGAATTTTCCAAGTTAGACTTATGTTATTCATTTATTTTGAAAAATCAGTCATTCAGTCTAATCATAAACACATTTTTTCCAACAAATTTACCACTCTAATATTTAGTTCTAAATGAATAACTTTAGTTCACTTGGTTTACGTTGAACATTGAGCAGAAATCAGAAACTTCAACTTCAATTGTTTTTATGAGTTTCGTTAGAGAAGAGAATGAAATAAAGGTACTAGTGCAAACAGACATGTCCTTACTTTGTATTAGTGGCACAGCTAGCAAGCCTATGGACAACTAATCTTGATATAGAAATGCACGATGGAGAAACAAACTAATACAGA